AAATGATTGCTCTCATTATCCAGTCACTATTCTCACTAGAAGGTTTACACACTATGGATGAGCATACTGCACATTGATCCTTCGTTGAATTGGAGTCCTACAAGAAGGACAGTCCTCCATTCCTTGTTTCTTATGAAGCTCATTGCATTTTGCACAAACAACCTGATGCGCACACGGAAGGAAAACCACTGACATCTCCTCAGATAGGCACATCACACACTCGCGGTCCTGTCTCAAACTTCCAGTCCCAAAATAGTCCTCGGAATTCATTACCCTCTTGATGCTGGTAAAATTTTGGGTTCCCTTTGTTGCCATCACAGTTTTTCTGTCTGACAGGCAACCTCCAAAGCTTCCAGCAGCTCCCCTTCTTAGTGCTGCAATTCTTGAAGAGTCAGACTTCAATTGAAATTCAGATAACTTGCTCTCAAGTTCTTTGATGTCTTCCATATACTTCTGCATATCATTTTCTGCCTTCTGTTTGATCCTGTCCTCCTCCACTTTTGCCAAAGCTTCACGCTGTTCTCTTTCATTTCTTATGGAGTTAGCATGTGCAAGTAGTTTCTCATTTTCTGTGTTCTCCCATTTCCATCTAGCCTGTAAAATTTATCATCATTAGTAAGAAATAACAACCAGCACATCACTGGGCCATAAATTTACACCAGCAAAAACTTGAATGGTACCAACTAGTATCACATGTGTGTTGTCTGTCTATTAAATTTTTGGTTTTTAAGGTCATAACTAAACCATCCCCAACCCCATCACCCCTTATCGCTTGAGCCAAAGCTCAAGTGGAAATTTTTTGTATACAATCGTGTGAACAATTCATGGAAAAAGAAGATTCCTTATTATGCTCAGTGAGAACAATTGTTGACTTAGTAGGATCCCATCACAAGCAAACATTTTGTTTAAAAACATGGCCACGACCCTTTCCATGGACTTAAGACTTGTTCACCAGTATCCCACAAGCGATCCAACTTAACTTGTTTCTGAAAGGTAACTTTTACATCCACGTTGAAGAAGCATACCTCGATTTGATGATGGACACTTTTTGCCTTGCCTAGATCCTGTTGAAGTGAAGCCACCTTCTTCTTTTCTGTTTCAAGCTCCTCCTGCAATGAGCTTATCTCCCCCTCCCATGCCTGGGCCCTTTTCAGTGATCTCTGCTCTTGGTCTAATGCATCCAGGTGACGTCTTGCTTTCTCCAAAGCTATTTTTTTGGCAGCAAGCAACTTCTTTTTCAGAGTGGAATTCTCCACCTCAAGCCTACAGATATTAGACTTAGCTCTCTCAACCTGGCCAGTTGCATTGTTCAAGGCATGCTCCAACTCAGACAGCCTCTTCATGGTGTTCTCCTCCAACATTAGTTTCTCCTTCTTAAATTGCTCCGCTTCTTCCTTCTCTTGCCTCAGCATTTTAAGTTCAGGCCGTTCCTTACTAAGCCTACGAGAAACCTGCATAACCTTCTCATTGGCCCACTTAGTCCAGCCTTGTAGCTCATTCTGCAGCTCCTCCAGCCTAGGAACTAGCTTCAAAATCAGCTCATCCTTCTCATCTTGTGGTACATACTTTCCTATAGACTTATCATATGGAATGCCAGCACAGTAATCAAGAATCTTGGGGGATTCGGAGGTGCAAACTGGGGTCTTAGGTCCAGATATCTCTTCCAACCCAGATTTCTGGGAAAACTTGGTATCTGCAGAAGGCAAGGAAGATATGGTACCTTTTTCAGGTACTGTTGATGAGCAACCTGTTGCAGGTGAAGCAGATGGACTACTGGTTGAAGCATGATGCCTTCCATCTGATGAAGGGATGGTGGCTCCACCTTGAGCACTTGACTTTGAGGAACCAACTGTTGTACGTGCTCCAGGAAGTTCAGACGGAGGCTTCATCCTCTTCTCCACAAAGAAACCACCAACTGTGACTTTCCCCGACTTGAAGCCTCCTTTGGACCCATAAGCCCTGTAATTTCTCTCCATATGGAAGGACTTCCTCCGAAGTGCTGCTAATTCTTTCTTGGTGCGCCATTTTCGAACGGCTCCTGACTTTTCTTCAGAGGTACATGTTTGAGATTTGTTTTGCATATATTCCTCAGTGAAGCCTAAGCATTTTTCAAGACTATCAAGCATAGATGACAAACTGTCTTTCTCAGGGGTTAGCCCTCCAGGAGAATGTTTAGAGTTGGGCACGTTAGGGAAACTTCCAAATTTGAGTGCTTCAGTCGAATTGTTTTGAGGAGCTCTCTCTTGAGCATGGGAGAGTGGAGGTGTTGAGGAATTTGCTTGGTTGGGATTGGGATTTGGATGGATGGTTTCAAAGCTAGTTGCCTCTGATCTTAATTGGGTAGAGGAAGAATCAGAGGAGCTCTCTCTTGAGGATTCTTCAATACCAATAGCACTTAATGGATCTCCTTCCGATGTACAGGCTTGCAAAATGTTTAAG